GTTTCGCCAGTAAACTGCTGCGGCAGCGGTGTTCCAGCTGCGTCAGCCCTGAGCAGGCGTAAACCCTAAACCCTAGACCCTAAACCCTAAACCCTAAACCCTTTTTTTTTTCTAGGGTTTAGGGTTTAGGGTTTAGGGTTTAGGTTTTTATTTTAGCGCGGCAAGGCAGCAGAGCGATCACACTAAGATGCCCAGCTTGGCTTTTGCTCGCGCGTAAACCCTAAACCCTAAACCCTAAACCCTAGAAACCCTAGAAACCCTAGAAACCCTAAACCCTAAACCCTAAACCCTAAACCCTCACCTGAGTTGCTGCATGAGCTGCTGCTGCTGCTGCTCGTCGCGCTGATAAAACTCCCATCTTATTTCTTCGTTTGTAATCTCTAAACCCTTATAAACCGCCGAAGCAGAAGGGCCCGCGCTTACACCTACACACAAACCCTAAACCCTAAACCCTAAACCCTAAACCCTAGATATTTTATTTTAGGGTCAATAGTATATTTCTCCATTCATTTTTCTCTTTACAACGATATACCATACACCCTAAACCCTAAAACCCTAAACCCTAAACCCTAAACCCTAAACCCTCAAACCCTAAACCCTAAACCCTAAACCCTAAACCCCACTAGTAAAAGGCCAGCAACCACTCTTTTTGGCGGTTTGTAGATGCTTCCAGGCCTCAACATAAACTTTTGCTTCTGTATATTTTTCTCCTTTTGTTTCTTTTTGTACGGCCATGGGTGTAGCACCATCTGCTGCTGCTGCTGCTGCTGCTGCTGCTGCTGCTGCTGCTGGTGCTGCTGCTGCTGCTGCTGCTGCTGTGGGGGAGAGAGCGGGACAGAAGGGAGATGCAGCAGCAGCAGGCTGACCGAAAGGGTTTACTGTAGATGAAGCAAATATGCTGCTGCTGCTGCTGCTGCTGCTGCTGCTGCTGCTGCTGAATGCCCCCCCAAAAGGACTTGCTGCTGCAGCAGGAGCAGCAGCAGCAGCAGCAGAACCCCATACAAACGGCTGCTGCTGCTGCTGCTGCTGCTGCTGCTGCTGCGGCTGGAAAGGAGAAGCAGAAAACTGCTGCAGAGGTGCAGCAGGACCAAAGGGCGAAGGAGTCAGCATCCTCAAACCCTAAACCCTAAACCCTAAACCCTAAACCCTAAACCCTGCAACGCGCACAAACTATAAACCTCCATTTTTTAACCCTAAACCCTAAACCCTAAACCCTAAAACCCTAAACCCAATCAAACCTTCCCCCACCAGCTGCTGTTGAAGCGAGGCTCGAGGGTTTAGGGTTTAGGGTTTAGGGTTTAGGGTTTAGGGTTTAGCAGCGTTGCTAGGGCATCTACCGAGAGAAAGAAAAAATAAAAAACGTTTCTGCTTTTCTTCTCTTGAATATATAAAACCCTGTTTAGGGTTTAGGGTTTAGGGTTTAGGGTTTAGGGTTTTGTTGGGGGGTGGCTGGGGTGGAGCGGCAGCCCCACGGCTGAGGGTTTAGGGTTTAGGGTTTAGGGTTTACGTAAACCCTTTAGTTTTTTTTGAGGGTTTGGGGTTTAATAAGAAACAAAAATTAATAAAAATGCGGGGGTTACTGCTACAAACCCTAAACCCTAAACCCTAAACCCTAAACCCTAAACCCTAAACCCTCGGCTGTGTGTTGCATGCATGCATTCTCTGTTCTTCATTTTTAGGGTTTAGGGTTTAGGGTTTAGGGTTTATGTAGACGCCCGCAAACAAAATATATAAAACATCAATACTAATCCTCTAAACCCTAAACCCTAAACACTTCTACGCTGCTGCTGCTGCTGCTGCTGCTGCTACTAGTACTGCTGCTGCTGCTACTAGTACTGCTGCTGCTGCTGCTGCTGCTGCTGCTGCTGTTAGCGTCGCTACTAGTACTCAGCTGCTGCTGCTGCAGCAGCTGCTGCTGCTGCTGTTGCTGCTGCTGCTGCTGCTGCTGCTGCTTGGAGAGTTGCTTCTTATGAAGCTTTAAGTTTTTATTTTGCTGCAGCTCGCAGCAAGCTTCTGCTGTTGCTGCTGCTGCTGTTGCTGCTGCTGTTGCTGCTGCTGCTGTTGCTGCTGCTGCTGCTGCTGT